GATTCCCCACTATGTTCCTTGACAAGGGCTGGACTGGATGATCCACAGGGCCTCCTCCAGCAATGCAGTTCAAAGTTAATGGTGGTGGTGGTGGTGATAAGAAGACACCAGGCACAGTCAATCGAAATTATAAAAAATAATAATAAAAACATTGACTGGTTTTCTATAACAGAGGCAAGTTTTAACCAATAACCCAAGTATCTGTTAAATATCGGCACAGTATGTATGCTGTTCCTAATACTGCCTTTTTAAAGCTCTGACGGTGTTATTTCTGAGATCTGTAATTGCTTTTAATAGTGTGAAATTTCTTGAGATTGTTCCCAAAGCCCCAATGACTATGGGCACCACTATGAAAGTGTTTCATCCACAAGCTAGATGTTTCCATTGCCAGGTCTCTATACAGTACTTTGTTAGTTTTTCCTATTTATTTTTAACTCTTCTTCTTTACAATAACAAAAACAATATTGTACACAATCCAAAAGCAATGTTGGGTGATGCCTTATTAGACCAATGGAAAAAAATGGCAAACAACTTGTTAAACCTTGATGAAGATTTCTACAGGGTTGAAAGCTAGCTTATGTTTGTGACTTTTCAGTAGTCTAATAAAGGTGTCACTGTTTGGTAAAGAATACTGAGTACATGTTACAGACAGGAAGAGAAAAAACTGAACCTGCATTAACCACCTATTATGGGAAGTCTTAGCAGAATATGCAATACACATCAAAGTAGACAAAAATATTTTTATTTGGATAACGTATGCCCTCCACTTTCTGCTGCGAGACAAACACTACATGCAGCTTATGTTTGCAGCTTATGTTCTTCAACAAATATAAATTTTTGATGCAAAACCCATCTGAGAAAAAAATCATCCTTCTTACATGATAGAAGGACAGAATTAGGCAATACTGAGACCTTAAAACTAAGTTACCATTAGAACAGCATGAAATATCCCCAAAGTCTACTTAGAATAATATAAAGGCAATTTTCCTGACAGCATTTCCTCAAGTTCACAGCAAAACATGGGGAGAAAAAAGGAAACAAGTTTAAGGAAGTAGTGAGAGTTGGTTGTCGCAGGTTTTTTGGGCCGTTTGGAGTTATAGAAGTTGGCTGTTGTGGGTTTTTCGGGCTCTTTGTCCATGTTCTGAATGTTGTTCTTCCTAACGTTCCGGCAGTCTCTGTGGCCATGGGCATCTTCAGAGGACAGCGTGCTCTGACAAGTGCCGTCCTCTGAAGATGCTGGCCACAGAGACTGGCGAAACATTAGGAAGAACAACCTTCAGATCACGGCCCCAGGACCCGAAAAACCTACAACAGCCATTAGATCCTGGCTGTGAAAGCTTCGCGAATACATTATAGGAGTTATTTGGCTCTCCAGGTGCAGTGAACATCATTTCTCAAAAGGAATAGCCAACATGGCCCATGCTGAGGGATGAAGGGATTTATAATCCAAAACATAAGGCAGACCAAAAGTTTTCCCACTCTGCTTTGAGAGCAACTCTAGAATATCAGCTCCTGGTCCTTCTCATCTGACAGGTGGAGCGCTAGGTGAGAAGGAGATAAAAACATCCTGCAGGAGTAGACTCACAGTCCATCAAATCTAGCTGCTGTGTCCCTTGGAGGCTCCTAGTCAAGCAGGGAGAATACAGAAAGCTATGCTGCCTCTGAATACGGGAGGTGTGATTTAAGGAGCACAGCTCATGACAAGGGCCAACACAGGGACGAACCACAGGCTGCATCATGCTACTTTTGCCTAACATTCCACTTGGCAAATAAATAAAAAAAACTTTTAAGATATTGAGAGAACCAAAGAAGGAAACCATCGAGGGCTGTTCTGCTGATTTCTAGCACTAGACAATAAGCCAAAGGCCAGGATACATGTAGTGCCATCCCTAGACATTCTAGGCAGAGTAGCCAAAGACACCTCCCACTCAACCAAATTAAGCTGCAGATTACCTGAAAGCCAGCCATGTTATTTTGATACATGAGAAAGAAAATCCTATTAAATACGCCAAATCTGGCAGGAAAACTACAACAATAACAAAGTAACAATGAACAAGTCCCAGCTCTTTTCTGACTCTCATAAATCAGCCACCTAAAGCGGCCACTTTGCCTGCCTAAAACGATCTGTACCTTCTCTTGAACACCAACAGGGCCAAGGAGAAGCCGGGCGCCTTTCCTGGCCGCTCCCTAGATCTGAAACATCTCTAGGCAGAGGGAAAACCCTGAAGGAACAAGTCCAGAGAAGGAAGCACGGAGCTTCCCCAGGCAGCCTACAAGCGATCCAGAAGCATCCTGTTGCTAGGGAAGTCGGAACGAAGAAGAAGCGCTTGGGATTTCGGCAAAGTAGAAAAAGAAACTGTTCCTGGCAGGCAGCGGGGAGGCGAGGGGGGGGGGAAATAATCCATTCCCCATGCAGAATCTATGCCAACCTTTTGACACAAAATAAAGGAGGCAGCTGGCAATCACATGCTTACCCTTAAAACACACACACACACAAGCATCAGTCATCCTCCAGCAGAGCAACCAAATTTTCCAACGTGAAGGGACAGATCACTACGGGAAGAGAAAGTCTCACTGTGGAAATTCCTCTAGGTCCAGTCAAATGAAATATCTCTTGGGCTCCCTAATCAAGTTTGCCACTAAACCGGAGGACTCGCCATTTGACAAAGAAGAGAAAACCCTTTTGAAAACCATCCACAGCCAGAGGTCCTGATGCACTTTAAGGAGGGGGGGGGCAAGCGAAAGGAACATCTTAATCAAATTCCTCCAGGGCTCAAGCAAGGAGTACAAGTGGTTTCACTCAAAAGTGGGCCCCAAGGGAGGTAAAGTATGCAGGGGACTCAGATTACCAGGTGAATTGAAATGCCATTCTCCATTACTGCCTTGGCATCAAAACAAAGGCAGATGGGCCATCATCCTTTTTCTCTTAGGGTCATTTGCTTACTTTCAAACAAAGCAAGGAACCAGCCAAGGGGAGAAAATGAAGAGAGAGAGAAACAGACCGATTTGTAGGAGCATTACAAGAAAGGAGCAGCAGTTTTTTTAAAAAAAGAAAACCATTCCCTAAAGTTGGTTCTGCCCACCTGCAACCAGTATGGGCCAAGGAAAATAAACCAGTTTCATTCACATGGGGCAACAGAAGGAGAATGCACAAAAATCTATGGGGAAAGCAAAACCCTAGGAAGTCTGCATTATTTTAGAGCCCTGTGAGGTCCCCCACCATCATCACCGCCACTAAATGACTGAGTTTCCTGTTGCTTGCCAGACTGTGTGGGATCTTCAGAAGAGGAATAAAATCCTAGTTCAAAAACTGATAAGCATCGGAAACACATTCACACCCTGCTGTTACTCTGCATTTTTTTTTCCTAACAGAAACCACCCTCCCCTTTTGCAAACACACCAGCTACCACCTCACCCGGCATCCCCAACACAAGCAAGCCAACCCAAAATGGGCTGAGCAAAAGAAAAGCAAAACTTGTTTGGCTTGCCAAAGTGTCAGATGGAAGTCCCAGCTGACTGGGAAATGTAAGGCCAGCCCCCTCCAAGGCAGAAACAGCAGAGGAAACGAGGGATTAACCTACTCATATATTCCTAATATGCATATGGTAAACTAAGACTCCATTCCACACAAGTTTATGGCAGAGAAGGTTTGTCAGCCTTAGGTTACCACAGATCTCTTTGCCCTTTCCTCTGCAAGGAAGATAGCTCTAACTCAGGAAAATGGAAGAGAGCTGGGAAACAGGGTTTTTCCCCCCTACAAAATCTTAGTTTTCTGAAGTTTTAGAACCAGGGTTTTCTGAAAGAACCTCCTTTCCAAAATGCAGCTTATCAACCTTCAGAACCAACAAAACTACTGATCAGTTCTCTTTAAAAAAAAACAGAAAGGGGAGCTTTTTAAATGGCTGTTTTCCTAGTTTTGAGATTTCTGAATGTATTCTGCAAATGTTCAATTATGTTAAAAGTTTCAAAAAAATAAAAACTGCCCTTGGCCAAGGGATGGGGCAGGTAAGGATTCATTAAAACATTTCAATTAATACATCCAGGCTTCTCCCAAGTCTGTTGCTCGCTGCAGGCTGGGTTGAACGGGAGTTCTCCCAACCCTATGAATCCAATGGAGAGCCCACCTTGGCCTCTGTGGGGAAGAAAAACAACTCCATTTAAACCATGACTGAAGCTCACACGGCACAGGTACCTCCCCACAGACCCAGCCCAGCGATAAACAGCAAAAAAACCCCAGGGGGAGCTGAGAGAAAAGTCCCGCGCGCCCTCATGAACAAGCCTTCCCCCATCACGCACGCCGGGAGGCCGGCTGAGGGGAACCGTGCCTCTGAACATGTCTGAAAGGCAGCGCCTTCCTTCCCTTCACCGCTTCCTCTCCACAACGAACTCGGCAGCCGTTCCAGCCAAGAGAGAGCAAAGAGCCGACTTAATTTAAAATATATATATATTAAATTCTTCCAATGACTAAAGCTATCAGCCAGACTCTTCAGGAAGCTTCGGGCCCCCCCGCCCCCACCAGAAGTCCGCATCAAAGTCCGCATGCGGGGGAGGGGAGGCGGGAGGGGGGGAGAGACCACGGCGGCTCGGCCAGAAAGGCTTCAGGATCCCCAGCCAGTGACCCTCTCCCGGAGCGTGGGGCTCCCTCGGACCCAAGCGGCCCAAGTTCCTGCCCCCCCACAAACTCCCTCGCCCCCAGCAGCGCATCTGGCGGGCTCGCCGCAAACTCCGGCAGCCAAGAAAGAACCTGCAGCGTCTCTCCGGCGAAGGGCATCCCCGCGGGAAGACGACGACGACGACGCAGCGCGGGCCCGGCAGGGACTATGGACCAAGCACCGCAGCCATCTCTCCACAGGATCGGATCAAACTCCCTACGACACCCCCCACAGACACATACAAACACACACACACGTTAACCCTGCTCGGGCTTGAAAAGAAGAAGAAAGTCACGTAGATCAACTGGTTTCTCCTTGCTGGTTTTCTTTTCTTTCTTTCTTTTTTACCTTGTCTGACGGCTTTGAAAACAATGGGATCCTTGCAGCTCCGGATCACTCCCAGGACGTCGTAGCGGGGCAAGCCCGACACGGGGATGCCTTGCACCTCCAGCAGGAGCTCCCCTTCGCCCAGGGCGCCCTCGCCGCCGGGCAGCGCCGTCTCCCCCGGGCTCTCCTCGGCCGCCGGGGCCCCGATGTAAGGGAACTCCCCATATTCCGCTCCCCCCAGGACGGTGACCCCGAGCTGGCCCTGAGCATTGCGGCTCACCGTGCACTGGTGCACTTTGGCCGCCCAGTGGTGCTTCTTCTGGATCACTTTCGACATGGCGAGTCTCTCAAAGTGGGGTCGGTGGGCCGGCTTCTTTTCTCCTTTCTTTTTTACAAAGAGAAGGGGCAGAGAAATAC